TTCAAAGAATAATGATTTTCAAAAATGTTAGGGGTCTGTTATCTTCATTATCTTTTTTTTCATCTTTTGGCTGGATTATTCCTTGATTATTGTTTTTAAAAGTAAATCTTTTATCCATTAAATAATTTTATTTGTTCACAATATCACTGATGTTTATAAAAAGCTATAAACAAGAAGATTTAAGATTATCTGAGGAAGCTTGAAACTGGTCCACTGACATATAAAAAAAAATATGATTAAAGCTGAAATCAATCAATGATTAAGGAAAATATCTTAATTGAAATAGAGTTTGTAGCTAAAAATCTATAAAACCAGCTATATATCGAGGAAGGTCATGAAAAGTTTCCAATTTCTTGTTCCTTCAAGTTAACTGTGGTCTGCTGAAATCTAAAGATGCCTTGGGATAGTCAAAGATTCATTCCAAAAGCTAAGCTGAGTATTAAAGGACAGAAAAACTTTGTTAGAAACAAAGAAAAGAGTACTAAACTGTTACATGTTCTACAGTATGGCAGTGAATGCTGGATAATTTCCTAAAATATAAAGAATAGACTTGAAGCAACTGAAATGTGGTTCTACAGAAAGATGCTGAGGATACCATGGACCAGACATGTGAGCAATGACAAGGTTTTAGAGAAAATGGAAACAAAAATGTAACTGAATCTGATAATTCTAAAAGAAAAAAAACTGCCAAAACATGAATATAGTTGTGGTAGCAGACCACTTCTTCTTTATGTGATGTGCCACCCTCAAGACATAGGCGATCATGGATCTCCACAATTTCTTGTCGCTTGCAGCTCTAAATAAATTGTCTTTTTGCTTTTTTCCTAAAACCTGTTCTGCCATCCATTTACTCAAGCTCATCAATTATGTTATGTGCTGTTTTCCTCTGTCCCTCTTGCCCTCAATCTGTCCTGTGAGTAACAGATTTCCCAAGTCATTCAAAGTAGAGGTTTACTGTGTAAATTAACATAAGAAAGGGCAAGTATTAAGAGTACAGAGCTGAAGCAGACTTCAGAAGGAATCAGAAATCCAATCCAAAACAGAAAAGAAGAAATAAACCTCTGCTCCTGTTCAAAAGATGGGAGAGGAGTATGAACTGGACTATAGGCTATGAGATTGTCAAACATTCACTGCCATATTCTTTGCTTCTAATTTCTTTGTTTTTAATTAAAAATTTTCTGTTTCTGAACATTTTGCTTAGCTTTTGGAAGGTATTTCTCACTATCCCAGTGTAACTTCAGATTTCAGTGTTGCATTTCCTGTCCTCTGTTAAAACATTCCTACATATTTCAATTGTTGTACTTTTTTTGATTTTGCTATCTCCAATTTGTAATTTGCATGTTGGGCTGTTCCTTTTGCTAGCAACCACGCATTCTGTCTTCTTCCAATTGATGCTTAGTCCTTTCTTCTTGCTTTCCTTCACTATTAATAGCTTTTAACAATCAAATTATGAGTAAGAATATTTATATTAAAATCATGAAGTATATATGTATTTAGCTAGATAAAGGATGTAACTCAGGAGAAAAAACTTGTAGTTAATCAGCAGTTGATTTCTTTATATTTCTCTATTTCATTTGTGAGGTTAGAATAGATTTTGGTTCAATGTTTGTAGTTGTCACTGCTTGTATTTAAGATTTATATCCAAGAATTACTTTTCTTACACTTGTACAAAAGGCCACAAAAATTAATGCAAGATTAAAAACAAAATGTCTCTTATTTTATTAACTAGTAAAATACTTGAAATGCCACTTATTTCCTAATCTTCTTCCCTAACTTAGAAAGAGAAAAATAATAGCAAACATTCTGACTAGCTAAGCTCATTTTCAGAAATGCATATGAAACAGGCAGCTCTCTTCTAAGTATTGTATGTGATTCCCACCAGGAAATGCCATTTGGTCTGAATCCAATTCAATGCCAATCAGAAACCTTTGATCTAAGAGGAGTTGATCTGTGGTGACTGCAATATATGCTGGGTTCACCTTAAGACATATCAAAGTTAGCTTTGTAGTCAGTGTCACATCAGAATGCCAAAAGAGGTGACCCCATAGCAACCAAATACAGAATCAGGCCTCAAAAGGTGCTTTTGCCAATATAAAACAGGAAGTCAACCCAGTAAAACTTAGGATTTGTGCACACACACACACATATATACAAACACAAACCAACCAAACAACAGTAAAGTTATATAAACACATGATCCAATGTCGTTCACTTCCTTATGGGAAGTATACTGAACAGTTGAAGAAAGTCCCTGTAAACACAATCCAAATATCCTACACTGTTTATATTAATTTTATGGCATTCAGAAGTGAATAAACGATAATTTTACCTAAGGAAAACTTTAGTCTCATTTTCTTATCAAATGTTGCTAAAAAAAAACATTAGATTGCCTTATTTTTATGTGCATTGATACTCTTCAATCTCTGAAGATCACACCAGTTTAAGTGGGTAATGTGTGATCTTTTCTCTTCAGATATGGTATGCTCTACTAGACTTACTTTTTCACTTTCACTTTGAACATGGCTTTTTTTATTTGAAAACAATTTTCCAGGTTATATTACCTTCTCAAGTCAAGCCAATGTGGATTATATGCACAGTAAAAAGAAGCTTGGAGAGTATATCCGCATTAATAAAAAATGCAAAATCATCCATGGGTAACTAAGAATGAAATTGCCTGTATGGTATTTCTCAGAAAGAGCTGGGCCAGTCAGTATATTTGACAATTCTTTTCTACTTGCCATCATTTCTGGAAAGAGAGATCCATTTCTTACCTTACAGACTGCAATCTGGAGAAGGCTGTACAAAAAATTGGTTGAAAACTTATGATAAACCTTATACAGCAACCACCTATATACACAAGCAACCATTGCAAACTTGTGCACTGAGGTCACATGTATTTGTATATTTTTTGTTTGTTACATTTTTGCTGTATTAGACTTAGCTCTCTTTTGCTGACCAAAAAAGGTAGTAGTGCCATTGTCATGATAACGGCAAGCTGTACCAAAATATTTATGAAGCAGAGAGTTGAAGAGTAGCTGTGAAAGAACAGAATACAACAGTCATAATTTTAAAAAGAAAATTTTAAGTCACATGTGTGAAAATCCAATTACAATAAGGGCCTAACAAAATATCAGTTTCATTTTAGCATGGATAAACTAATTTATATATACATATATATAGGATTGATATGAGTAAAAATTTGTCACTTAGCTGATTTATGTATATATATATATATATATATATATATATATATATAGATAGATAGATAGATATCAAATTAGAATTAATACTAGTAAAAGGTTTGTCACTTAGCTGATTGATGTTATGTTCAGCATTCTGACTCCAGAGTTTTGTTGATGATCCCTTTAGGAATCCCTATGTCCACACATTCGGACAAAGAACAGTAAGATATATAATCCAGTGTTCTTATTGATATTTTTATTTTTACAAAATAGTGCTCAATGAAAAACATCACACAATAATTTTTAGCTTTTAGTTTCCATTTTTGAAACATGGTTATTACTGTGTAGCGACAAAACCATATTTTAAATGTTAATTTATAATATATATATATATATATATATATACATATATAGGTGTGTGTGTTAATAGATATGGACAGTGTGCATATAGGAATTAATACAGCACAGTGCTTCTCAGTTTTCAAACCTCAATAAAACTTTCTGACCAAGTCTTGATGTGAAATTGATAGTTACCATGTAGTGTTGATTCCTATGACTACATTGTCTACATCTATCATCAACCCTACATTTCTAATATTGAGCACTGTTCCTCTATACATAGCAAATGCATAAGTATACACATAAAATAAAAGAGTATGAATTATGCTAATGATTTAATAACTCTTAAATTTTTATCATTCTTGTATGTGTGTAAACATACTTCTATGATATGAACATATACATTTCAAACAATATATTTATTGTGGGTGTGCCAACTACCATTTTACTGAAGATCATAAAGAAACAAATATACTTGTAAAACATATATATGAAAATGAATTGTATTAAATAATAATTAATTCTATCTATTTTGCTTATGATTAAATATAATTATAATTAATATGATCAATAATTCTAATTAATTAGATCAATAATATGTTCAGAAAAGAAAAATCCCTTGAGTGGAATGTTTGCAGCATCTTCCATGCAAATATAAAATTATCATCACTTCTATACATAATTATAATAACAACAACAGTCATGAACATTTGTATACATGCAATATTACATAAGTATTCAAGCAATTTTAAATGAATAGTTTCTCATTTATTTTCAAGTGTAGAAAAGTAGATTATCAGTTAATAAAAAAATTCTCTAGATAGAGATACAATATTTTTCCTTCAATAGATTGTGGTATTGTTTGTTTTGTCCAAGAATATATAAGCCAAGTCACAAAGATTTTTAACCTAAATATGATCTCTTTTTACAGTGAATCTAAACTGTTGTTTTGATTGGCTTATTATAATATATTGCTTATAAATATTGTTTTCACAAAGTTCAAACTTTTTCATTGCACTTGATATTTTTTCCCCAATGAACATTTCAAAAGCAATGAAAAATTCAATCAATTCATGATAACTAACAAAAAATTACAATCAAACATTGAAATATCATGCTTGGGTTGTTAAAGTTTTGACTCTAGATTGTATCATAGAAAATCTATGATCACATGAGGACTGCCATTCATATGCAACATTGATTGATTAATTTGTTTTCTGCTATTTATCAACTCTTTGCAGGTTATTTAAAGCCAGAAAATATTTTGAGATTGTAAGATTTTTTGTTGGGTAGGCAGTATTAATGATTTACTAAAGTCTTACTAATTAACCCATAGATGAGGGGAGAAGAGGTAGATTCTAACCTTTCCCAAGGATATTTGCATGTAAATGATTATAACGAACTCAACTGGAATTGGAATTTGGCTCTTTGATTAACAATTCTGAGCTATTATCCATTAGATCACCTGCACATCCAAACTTACAGCACCTAGTATTCCCAGGTGGTCACCCATCTAGGTACTGACCAGGTTTGATGTTGCTTAACTTTGAAGATCATACAGGAACTGCTATTTCAATTTGATGTGGCCATAAGCAATCAGACCTGCTCAGTATCATTATGAAAGGAAATTCCTTGAAGATGAACTGCAGTTGGGAAAGATGGTTCTGTGGAAGCAACTTTTGTCAAAAAAGAAAAGAAAAATATTCTTTTACTTGATGTTATGCCAATAAAAATGTTGGCCTCAGCACTTTTTGAAATACCTCTTGTATATATGGGTGTTAAGAAAATCAATGACAAAGCGGGAAAAAATTATTGTGTGATATTTTTCATCCTTTACGACTTCATCGGATTAAAGCAATGTTTATGTTGATATAACTACACATGTGCATGAAGGAAAACAGACACTAAAATTTGATTTTTTTTAATTTTACATTTTTTTAAAAATATGTGTTTGGGCATATAGTTCACTGCCTCCTCTCCTCCATGCACATGTGTAGTTATATTAACAGAAACATCCCTTGCCCAGTGAAGTTTTAAAGGACAAAATACATCACACAAAATAATTTTTCCACTTTGTCATTGATTTTCCTAACAGGTATATAAAAACTTATATATCATTTTCTCTTATATTTTGGTGTGTAAGGCATCTATTTCACTTTAAGTGCAATGAAAATGACCAGTTGCAAAGAATTTTGAAACATAGTCCTAAGGCTGATGATAATGTTTGCTATTATCTTCTTCTATAGGCGATCATGGCCCTCCACAACCTTGTATCTCCTGTGACAGTTTTTAACCTTTTGCTATCAAACAAGAGTAAACCATCTTTTTCTCAATAAGCCATTTCTGCAATGGGCTAAATACCAAAATATCTAATTTAAAGATACTTGAAAAAAATATACATATCTATAAGTCTACCATTTGTTCAGGCTTAGAATATTGCGGCCACATATGGTCTGGTGCTCCTAATATTTAGCAAAATTGATAAGAGTCAAAAAAGAATCTACAATATTATTGGTCCTGATCTGGTGGCTCAGCTCCAGTCACTTTCCCACTGCTATAAGGTTACCTCTCTGTGTCTTTTCTATAAATACTTTCATGGTAATTGTTCAGATAAGCTCTTCACTATTGTACCTAAAGTTTAAATTTAAGTGCAATACTAGACTGGCATCGAGATCTTATCAATTTACAGTTGAGCTGGCTAAAATGTAGCTGTAAATTCTATGTGGTTTCTTCTCATTTGTGGAACTCCCTTTTGGCTTCTTGCTTTCTAGCCAACTTTAATCTGCAAAAATTGAAATGCAATGTCAATTGCTATCTACTGTCCACCTGATTACTCTCTTCTCTTTCTGCTCATCATTAATGTTTCTGTTCCTAATTCTTCCACATCCTATAACCCCTTGTGTTTTAGTGGAATTACTGCCTTACTTTGGGTGATTCTAGTTAATATATATATATATATATATATTATACACACACACACACACACATCACACCATAATGAATGATGGTTGCAAAATACATCTCACATATGAATAATAGTGTTGTGAGTTTGATCCTCACCAAGTGTCTCTGTTGTGAATTTGTGTCAAAGCAAGTTAAATCAAAGAACATTTGTTGTAGAAAGCTTGTGCACTAGTTAATATCATCAGTGCTAGTGAAATGATTTCAATCCTCATCAGGCATCACATTTTTATAACTCTGCACAAATTAATACAAGCTTATGCACACCATTATTGATGTTTGTAAAAGGAAAAGAAAAAAATGAAGTTTTTATTATCCTATTGGAGGACATTCTTTTTTTCTTTTAGTAGAAAAAGGGAAAACATGTGGGTTAAGTGAAAATTTGGAACATGTGGGTTAAGTGAAAATTTGGAACATGTGGGTTAAGTGAAAATTTGGAACACACAAGTGGAGTGAAAATTACAGTAAGCATGAAAAGCAACAAGATATAATTTAGCAGCAATTTTTATGGCATAAAGAAGACCCCCCCCCTCTTCCATTCGGATAGACTCTCAAAGAGATGCAGTCGAGAAAATGTTAATTCTTACCAAGTAACCTCTTTGGCATCATTGTTCTTACTAACACGGTTTGCTGTAAAATAGAACAGCAGTTAAAAGTTAACTTTTATTTAACAGTGAATTTTTTGTTTCTCCTCCACCCCACACCATTTCTAATCCACTCATCCCCCCCCACACACACACTTAGAACTAAGAGATACTTGACACAAATCCATCAGATGGGAAATTACAAAAGCAAGAGGATGTGTCAGAAATTCTCTGGAAGTTTCACCAAATTGCCAATTGCAAGTAAAAAGTGTCGGAATAAAAAGAATGCTGTGAGTGATGTAACATGTCTTACCATAGATTGGTGTAATTGCTTTGTCTCTAAAGATTCATATATATATATATATATATATATGAATACATTTATAGATATATACTATATATTTTCTGTACATTATCTTGTCTCTCTCTCTCCTTCATATATAAGTGTGTGTTTCTGCAAAAAAACATGACTAGAAGTGTGTTAGTATGATCCATATTTGCACACATTTAAATATTTGTAATCTATATCCATATGTAAACTATATACAAATGGATTTACCTATATGCAAGTACATGCACACACACACACACACAAATATATATATATATATATATATATATATATATATATATATATATATATATATATATATTAGGATATTACAAAAAAATGTGTCAAAATCACACAGTTGCAGTCATGTTTCAATGCATATCAGTGCATCTCATCAGGCTATTGTAAATTACTGCGAGTGAATGATTTATTTAGATTTAAAAGCAAAATACCTCTTTTTACGAAAAAAAAAGGGGAGTATAAGGTTTGTGTGTGTGTGTATACACACACACACACAAGCAAACAAACAAGTTTGGTCTGCAGCCTAAATATACTGTGTGTGTGTGTGTGTACATCAGGTCAAGACAAATCAATAAAATTAGTCTACAGAATCTTACTTATTATAAAACGCAGATTGTGTGTGTGTGTCTGTAACGTTTATATATTGGATCGGATTTCCTACATTTTTCAACCGATTTCAACAAAACTTCACAGGAATACATAAAATTACCTTGTGGTGGTTCTAACAGCGACAAAAATGGGAAAAATATAATTGTTTTGCACAAAATCAATTTGAAAACACGATTAAGAGACATCGTGAAAATGGAAGGGGACAACTCACATCGGGTTGTTTTGTGTGTGTGGGTTCCTTTAAATATGGGAGCGGATTTCCTATATTTTTCAGCCGATAAAACAAAACTTTTTTTTTTTTTGGCAGGTAGTGTTTCTTATTCTCTTGCACACTTTTTTTTCTTTATTTTTAACATTCAGAATGCTTTAAAAAATTCCATTTACAAGACAATTATTTATAATAAAATTCTATTCAATCAGTAGACTCATAACGATTGAAAACAATGTTTTTGTTTGAGTTTGGGTTTGACCAATTAAAAAAAAAAAAAAAAAAAAAAAACTAATTAAGACATATGCGTGTCCGTCAACCTTAAACAATAATCTTTGTCAATTTTATTTTTCAGTCTTTATGATGGTGGATACTTGATCTATCTCTTACTGTTATATCCCCGGGCAACGCCGGGCTCTACTGCTAGTAAAAAAATAAAAATGACTGATTGATTTATAATATTTTTATTTGTGTTTATTAAATACAATTAATAAAAAGAAAGAACATGGTTTCCATGTTGGTAACTGGAGTTTTCTTCCTTTTTCTACACCGCTATTATATTTTGTTTAATCACAAAGCTATAAATAAAATAAACAAACAAATGTAACCAACTTCTACATGACTTTTGGCAGAGTTAATAAAATTATTCTAAATAAAATTAAAAAAAAAAAACAGTTCAAGATTGTCAGAGAAACCGCTTACTACAGCAACAATTGTTTTATTTTTAGGTCACTTCTGGATTTGTTACTTTTATTTATTTTTCATCTTTGGAAATTTGGTCCAATGAGGATAAAAATGTGTGTGTGTGTAGAGGGTATGCATGCTCATTCCCTCTCTCTCTCTCACCCATATATATATATATATATATATATATATATATATAAATAAGCTATTTTATGGCAACTGATCATTTAATAACTGATGCAGAATCTGATTTTAGAATTAAAAAAAAAATCCATTGAAGAATGTCTTTTCTAAATCTACAGACATTTAAAAAATTGAATCAAAACTGCAGGAATCCAGTTAACAGACTGACAATGTAAAAGAGTAGCTTTGAATTATAGTAAATAGATAAAGATTTATGGAAGCAAACAAAAAATAAAAATGGATATACCAAGACCATTAGGTAAAAGAGAGTGTAACAATGATTATCTCTACAAAAGTTGCAAATTAACAAGTTACAAGAGTCTGATTAAAATGGAAAAATAGCAAAAAAAGCAATATCAGTTAGTCATAAGTATATTATTTTTTATCATTTCATATCATATTTAAAATTTTTTTATAGTCTTATAACTGCAAATTACATATGCACCATAACATTTTTGCATCTACAAAAATTTCCTCAATTTATTAACAGAAAGATTCTATGATTGACATTGTTGAGAAATTTATATTAAATGCATCATAACAATATCCCGTCTGTAACACATACATTAATTCTTGACCATTGAAAATCAAAAAGAAAAGGATTGTTAATGTACAACATTAACTTTAGTAGCTTGTTAAAAGAAAACTTATAGTAATGGTAATATTAGACATTTGTCTATAAGGAAATCATTTACATTCATTGATCGAGTAGTCAGTACTAGTTTCAGTTGAAATTTATAAAATATTTCTCTTAAAACAATCTTTCAGGAAAATAGGTTTCTTAAGTACAGTAGCTGTTATCGCCTTTTCCAGTATTGATGGGGGTTTTCCTTTCTAACCTTTTATGAGTAATTGTAAAATTTAATGTTTAAATATCATTTTTCCCTTCTGTCAGAAGTATTTTTTTCGTTAGTGCAGAAAATTACTAACTTTGTGGGAGTAGCAGTAAAGCCAGTGGGTAGTGAAAGGAAAATTGGAATCCTTCTCTCTCTATACAATGGGTTCAAACACAGTTAATACTAAAATACAATCACAATTATGGCTTCATCTCTTCTCTCTCCACTAGAAGAATGTACTGTATCATCACATATGTAATGATTAAAATGAGGTCTTCAGGCATTTGTTTTATAAATCTGACTAGCAATATGATGATGGCTGATATAAGCAGTTATAGTAAAGAATGAAGCAGATGATTAAACTATTTCCAGATGTACTGCAAGAGTCATTTAGGGAGAAATTTGTATTTTTAATCTTTTCTCAAAAGTAGTTTTCAGTTGAAGATGTATGAAAAACAAAATACAAACTATCAGCAAATGAAACACGACACATGCCCACAACATGAAGTAAATGTTGATAAAACAGTACATTAGAAGAATATGATATACAAGGGTGGGGTGCAAAATTAGGTATACAGTAATGTGTCGTATTGATTACACAAACATAATAGCTACTGCATAACCACTTTTTGCAGGCCCTGTATAAAAGATAATGCTTGCATTTTCCTAAGTAGATATGAACATGCATTATGTTCAAACAAGGATTCTTTATAATCTAAAATTTTATTGCTTTAAAATAATGCAATAGAATGGCTGATGTAACATATTTTCTTTTTAACACTGCTTTTCAAATGGAAAATTAAGAAAAGTTAGGCTTTCCAAGAGGGGGGGGACTTGTTCAGGGCATTACTTCTTTTATGTGCTGTGTCCCTTTATGAGGTTGGCAATCATGGGTCTCCACAATTTTCTGTCCTTTCTAGTACTTAATAAATTTCGTCTTTTTGTTATCTCCTCTAAACCTTGTTTTGCACTCCATTTACTCAAGCTCGCTAGGTAGGTTATGTGTTTATTTCCTCTGTCTTGCTTGTCTTCAATCTGTACTGGGAGTATCAAATTTTCCAAGCCCTCGCTCCTCATTATGTGCACTAGAAATTTCAGGGTACACAAACTCAAAAGACATTGAACATATTACCACTGTCATGTCCCCCTCTCAATGCAGAAACCAAAGTTTAAAGATTGGGTCATCCAATAAGTTTTTCAAACTTCATTTTACTAATTAAATAAATTAGTCATATTCAATTGTACTTAACTAATTATATGTTAATTCAGTCACTTGATTGCTTTCATTGTAATCATTGTTGAATAATCTAATAAAAATTGTTTGGCAATAAGCAGCTTGAAAATGTTAAATTACAATTTGTGACATACATTTTTCAAATGCTCAAAAATGAGTTGTCCACAATGTTTTCCTGGCTTCATTAAAACTTTTGGGTTGTTCCATATCAGCTTGTGTTGATCAAATACAAGTCCTCCTCCCAGTGGCCTTGTGCTACATATTCTTTCTTGGTATCATCTTTACTTTGCAACCACACAAATATAACATTTCCAAATATTGACACAAAAGCTTTCAAAATGTATAAAGCATGATTTCTCAATGACCAAAGGCATTTACTAAAAGAATACAGATCTTCATTTGAGATTACTTATTTTCCCCAAAGACAGCACTAAGAAATTGATATTGCCTTTTTCATGTATCTCAGGAAAGCAGTAATTTCTAAGTGTTTTTGCCACTGCATCTTCAATAAGTTGTATTACAAAAAGAATCAAAGAAAAGTAATATTTTTTAAAGTAATTTTTAAATTATATGTTATTGAATATGAGAGACATGAAATATATTGTTAATTTACACCCCAATTGCAGTAAAACTAAAGTTTATTTCTTAGGTTTTATTCAACAAAAAACACAGCAGCAATCTATGTAAATCTTTCAGTATGAAACAAAACTCACTGACTTATATCAGAAACATTTGAAGAACTTTTCCTTGTAATTCACACATGAGAAATCAGCAAAGTATATAGACAGTGAGATCAGCCATGATGTTTGCAACCTCACAGTGAATAACCAGAAGTATCATGACAAGTATTCATGTGCTACTGATGAAAACAATTACTATCCTTGTCTGATAATAATTATTGCATTTAGTGGATGAAATGTGTAGGCAAATGTAACAACTCTTATGAGACAGATACCATATTAATTACAATGGTTCTCCCGTAAGAGTTATTACAGTTGGAACATTTAGTAAAGGGATAAAAGGGGAAAATATTTTCTTATCCTGAAGAAGACTTGGAAAAAATTCATGAAACTATTATCATTATAGATAAAAAAAAAAAAAAAAAATCATCACTTTTTAATTAATCTATTTAATTTTATATCCAAATAGTTTCCATGGATTTATTTAATTTTCAGCAATCAAATGAACTACTATTTATTTCTACAAATTATATGCATGAAAACAATATATGAGATAAAATATCCATTTTGTCCAGGGCAGCACCAAATAACCACTTCATATTTCATAAGCAATGAAAACTCATGGCCGGAAGAATTGTTCATGCCCATTACTGAAGATGGTGTTGGGCAATCTGCCATATAAAAAGTTAATGAAATAGCATTTGATATAGTAAGTCCTGATTGGCTGCCATCCAGCCAATCAGTTGCTTGGTCAGTCAGTTGACAAGCCTACAACAGCTGCAAGCATGGGAATTCCTGGGTATAATCCAATGATGGACACGGTCTATCTGCTGTCTGGCTATTTATGTTAATGAACATGCGAAAATCAAACCAAACAGCATACATTTGGAAAAAAGTGGGAGAAAGAAAAAGGAAGAAAAATAGAGAAGAAAAAAGTTGAAAGGAAAAAAGAAAAGAAAAACAGGGTGGAGAGAAAGTGAAAAGATAGGCATAAAAAGAAGGGAATAGAAAAACTGAGTTAAAGAGAAAAAGAAAGCTGGTTGAAACAAAGAGAAGAAACATACCAGAAAGACAGAAAAAGAGAGAGAGATGATTAATGAGAATAGATCAAAAAGAGTGACTGAGAAGAAAGAAAAAAAAAGTGTTGATCAGAAACAGTGAGAAAAGAATAATAAAGAATAAAAGATAGAGAGAGAGAGAGAGAGAGAGATTATTTTAGGAGGTGCTGCCAAAAGAAAGAGGTACATCTAATAATAGATGACTTGCAGTTCAACCAAAGCTACAAAAAGTAAAGCAGATTGGAAATCTTGGGGGCGGATAGTGGCTGTGACCAGGTGCTCAAATTATGATTGGTTAGACAGAATGGCTAAAATTGTCACTTGCATAAAAGCTAAATTAAGGTAGCCATTACAACCTGCAAGCAAGAAAATACCATGATTGTATGGAAACATATTTCTTTTTGAAAGGTCTATGATCTTCAGCAACATATAAACCCAGAATACTTTTACAGATCCTGCCAAAATAGTGAACCATGGGAGCCTTATTTCCAAGTTATATATATCTTCATTGGATTTGTGATAATCAGCATTAATAACCTGATACTGAAGTGAAAAATTAAAATCTGGAAGGTGTGGACTGCACTATAAATGTATCCAAGTAGAAATAATATCATAACTAGACACTGCATGATCAATGACGACTGACTTATTTGTTTGATTTGAGTGATTCATTTTCTACAGCTTATCAACTCCTTGCAGGTTATTTAAAGCCAAAAAATATTTTTAGATTCTAAGAATATTTTTTGAGATAATAATGGTTTAGGAATACAAGTCTTACTAATTAATCCATAGGTGGGGGAAAGAGAGAAATTCATACCTTTCCCCAGGGTATTTGTGTGTAAGTGAATATAACAAGCCAAAGAGGGATTGGAACTTGGCCCTCTGATTAACAATTCTAAGGCATTATTGCTTACAGTACCTGCAAATCCAAGCTTACAGCACCTGGCATTCCCAAACAGTCAGCCATCTAGTTACTGACCAGGCTCCATGTTGATTATCTCCGATGATTGTACGGAATCCAATGTTTCAACATGATATGGCCATAAGCCTTTGACTTATTTGTCTTTGGAAATAGGCTGCGCAATTGTTTCAAAACATTTATATCAACATACACAGAGTATATATAAACTAACAACCAAAGCAATCTTTTGAATTTGATGAATGTTAAATCAGCAATTTCGCAAGGTAAAAAATTATATATGCTGCAACAAAATGGATATCCTAGGATTCTAGGTATTGAACTCACAATTTTTTGGGTCAAGTCAAGTTGTGAGTGTCTCCAAGGATACATGGCTCAGTGGATAAAAGCATTAGTTGAGTGATCCAAAAGTGACTTGGCCTAGAGTTGGGAGTTCAATACCTGACCACAGCAGAGAGAAGAAAAACTTGGCGAGTTGAGATATCCAGAAAAGGCATGGCATATGGAATTAGAACAATATCTCTGTGGATTAAATAAAGTGTTCAGTTTGAAATTCCACCTAACATCACCTGAAGAAGGCTGCTGTATACAATGGCCAAAATGTTGTGAATATGACAATAAAGATGTCAACTGTCCAAACAATGTAAATAGTGTAAATAATTCAAATATTTGGAGGGAAAAATAGAAAAGACTTATTCAGTCTAACTTATACTAACCCTAAAGCAATCTACAATTGTAAAAAAAAAAAAAAAAAAAAAAAAAAATCTAAACATGAAATTAAAAAGTCAGTTATGAAAGATACTATATATATATATATATATATATATATATATATATATATATATATATATATAATAGTGGGCAAGAGTGAAAAAAAACATAGCAACTAGACTGAAGAAATCCCTTCTAGGGATGAAACATTATATAGAAGATACTTTTGTCATTCAATTACCCATAGAGTCAATAATGTATGATAGAGCATCTATGCAAGGCCATAACTTTCGAACAAGTGGGAATGTTGCACTCAAATATTCCATCATTGCTAATTAAATCAACCTTGATCTTTAAGTTAATTTAGAATTTCAAAAATTTATTTAATTCTTTTTTTTTGTTGTCATTTTGAAAATTTGCATTTCATTTACAAATATGCATAGATAACTTTTGAAAAGAAAAATTATATTTCTTTTAAATCTTTTTCAAATAAAGAATAATAATATTAGTTATAAAAATGTTTTCTTTAGTTTCCAATTTAAGAGGGTTTTTTTTTTTTTTAGTCTATGACAACATTTATACTACTATAATAAATGATGTGGAACTTATATACATGTGTGTGTGTGTGTGTGTGTGTAAAATTTCAGAGTGAGTGTATCTGTATAAGGACAAAATGTAATTAAATGTTCAAACTCATCTTCCCTTTTAGGAGTTTTAAAGAATTTGCTTGTCAGTGAGTATGATAGTAAATCTTTTTTTTTTCCAAAATATTTTAAATATAATTATTACTATATTACTGCTGATTTCATTATTATTATTATTACTATATAACTTGCTAGATTTAGTATTATTGTTATTATTACTACTATATTATTTGCTGGTTTTATTATTAGTAGTACTATATTACATGCTTGTCATTATTACTATACAACTTGCTGGGTTTAATATTATTACTACTACTATATTACTGGCTGGTTATTATTATTATTAATAGTAGTACTATATTACTGACTGGTATTACACAAATATGAAAAGCTTGTCTAAGTTATCAGTGATATCTCTATTACTTACTGTAGATTTTTTTTTCAAAGCTCTACATGAACGTTCCTAGGCTGAAACTGCTTAAGTTAAATCACAAGAGGAGTTTGGCATCAAGCCATGAGGTTATCTATCTATAGATATTTTTGATGCTAGATTAGCCAATTGGGAAAATGTGCGTGAAATGTCAGTAACAATAGAACGTGTGATTGTCACTGTTGAAGAGGTCATGTGAAAGAATGACTGGCAGATTGGTCTCTCTCCATGCACACACATGATGTGTTCCTTTATATATATATATATAGTTACACGTATACATAGAGATGGTGCCAACTGATTTTGTAGGTACTGCCTCTGTCATGTCAGGAACAATAAAAAGATAGCAAAGAAAAGGAAGGAAAAAAATAAAAGGAAAGCGTCTAAAAGAAAGATGTAGGGTGAGATCAATACAATTCTATCTTACTTGATATGTAAACAGTCAAGAATAGTCAAAGGAGGCAAATATATTGCAGAAAAAAAAAGACACATTTAAGGAGATGTGTAAAAGATTATTGTATATTTAAATGCTCACTTGCAAGTAACTATTATTATTATTGGTTTTTACATGCCAGGCCCTTTCAAGATATAGGTGATCATGGCTTTGACAGATGCTGTTTTCTTTATTATATGTGATTTTTTGAGAAAGATTGTGAAATAGATTCCCATTTTTTCCCAGATTTGAATTCAGGGTAATCCTTCTCCAAAACTGGCTACTGTCCAAGGCTGGAGAACCTAGTCTATTCTGCTATTTAACCTATAGCTAAGGGGAAAAGAATTTATGACTTCCTAAATCCGTCAGTGCAGTCAAATCTTAACTTGGTCTAAATCTAATCATAGGCTTTCCAGCTAAATATAAAAAAAGAATAACAGAAATGAATATTTCTTAAATAAATTTGGAACAATGCAAATTGGAGAAATAGGTGAGATAATGTCTGCTCTAATTAACAGTCTAATGTTATTATATTCATTCCCTCCATAGCAATCAGGTAGTCTTGAAGACAGTGGACATTTAATCCTGAAGATTTTTTCTAAAGATTCTCCAGTCATTAAAATCTTGAACCAGTGAAAGCTCTATCTTGAGCAGGAGGAGCTAAGACTGTGCAATTTCAGTGGACAGAAAAAAAAAAAAAACTCGGCTTGGATGGAACTTGAATGTCTTGCTGATTCCACTTTCCACAATGATAACCTCTTCACTAACCGACATCCAAAGAGTATTATTATTTTTCTTAAAATACACAATACAAAAAAAAAAAAAACAATTAAGAAAATTACATGTGCTATCAAGTTTAGTAACTATTTTTCTCAAAAGGTAAAAATTGTGAAAAAAAAAAGAAAAAAGAAAAGATATTCGTTAAAGCTGTAATCACTTCTTTTTTTTCCTCATGAAATGAAGGCAAATTTGGCACCGTAGAAATCAATTCTTTTGGTTAATCAATAGATAGATAAAAGAAAATATCTCTATAAACAATTTATTATACCTGATAAATGACTAAAAAATCTCTCTCATATAATATGCCAAGTGTTTTTTGTCTGTAAAGCCTGTAACTTTTTGCTGTATGAGAGTTAAGCTTTTTTCCAATGTCAATGCTGAGTAGCAGTGTCATGGTTATAATAATGGTGAACTGCTTCGAGATGTTCATGAAGCAGGTAGATGTGAAATGATCAAATCTATTGTTGTGATTTAATTGGTTGCCAGCATGAAGATATTCTCTGTGGTGTATTTTGGATATTCAAAGAGGAAGCGGAAGTACCTGCAGTGAAGCCATTTCTATCTGACTAGATGTGTCATTCGAATTTGATCAAAGGTAATCAGCAGACATTATATCCGTGAAAGAACAGAGTCTAACAATAATAATTGGGGACAAAAATTTATTTAAAGACACACATCTGAAAACTTAGTATAGTAATAATAATAAAGACGAGACAAAATATTTTGTACTTGATGGCTTCAGTAAGCTAGTGTTTTTTTTTTTCTAATGAACCAAGAGTGGAAAATAACAAGAAAAATGAAAAGCATTATTGTAAGGAAATAAAAGAAGAATGATGGGAAAGAGTAGAACTGAAAGAGAGAAAAAGGAAAGAAAAGTTGTGTGTGCATATATATATATATATATATATATATATACACACACACACACACACACAGTGAAGAAAAAGAGTTAACCTAACACCAATAAAAGTGCATAAATTATTTTTTAAATTAATATAAAAATAATGAAAATGAGAAAATCAGTCAATTGCTGAAACCTCTTGATGAGTGGATCAAACAATTACAAAAATGTTTGTCTACGAAACTCTGGAGTTGGAGAGATGAATATAACATCAGTCAGGCAAATTTTATAATTGTATTAATCATTATATATATATATATATATATATATATATATATTCACTCCAACTTCAAAGTTTCATAGACCAATTTTTTTTGTAATCATTTGGTTCACTCATCAAGAGATTTGAGCATTTGTCTGCAGATTTTCTC